AACATATAACAGGTCCTTAAATAATATCATTTTGTTCAATGTCATTTGATAATAGCATTGATGAGATGCCGTAGGAACTCAACTCTTGTTTATATCAATTAGACTACGGTAAAATTGGTTTTTATACATCATTTCACTTAAAGTCACAGAACCTATGGGCAACGTTAAGTGAAGGCATTGTATGCCAAAATGTTAACAATGAGGTAAAATTATAGGCAAGGCTTATTCCTTCATCTGTATTTTCTAAATTTTTACAGGCAAAATGTAAAAAATTGTAAGGAAACAATTCTTTTTCTAAAGATTCAGAGGCTCTCAAATGTGCCCATTAGCCTTGCTTCACTTGGAAGCACATCCTTGAAGCCACATATTTCTCCTCTGAAGCCTGAAGCACTCTGTCTTAGAAGCTAACATGTGGCCTCCGGAGTTCAACATCACATGATAACATAGGAAGAAATCATAAGATGGAGATGTCTGCATGGCTCCGACACAAACTGCCAATCAGGGCTCTCATCAATTAGAGTCAGATCATGGACCTCCTGTTGCCCTTTGAGATTTTCACTTGAGTTAAGAGATTCATTAACAAGTGACTGGCTAATTTTCCACTAGCATCTGTCTTACTTCTCAAATAAAGATTTAAGCAAAGAAAATTTCCCCCAGCTCCATGTACAATGCCGTGAGCTTAGTTTTTTCTGCTCTCATGTGGTCTTTTCCTTTCCCCACTCACCAGAGTTCCACTCCTCTTCCAACACCTTCCTAAACCTTCTCCTTCTCCTTCTCCTTCTCCTTCTCCTCCTCCTCCTTCTCCTCCTCCTCCTCCTCCTCCTCCTCCTCCTCCTCCTCCTCCTCCTCCTCCTTTTTCTTCTTCAATTTCCTGGGAAGTCTTCTATAATCTACCTAACCCAAATCTTCTCAGAAGTCTTCTCATACTGGAGGTGAAAGGGAGCTCTGGGTGAAAGGGAGCTGTCTGTGGTCAGAGCTATTACCTTTTCATCAGCATGCCTCAGTCCGGTTCTGCCCTGAGGAGCACCTCCCGTGTGAATGGGCTCTTGGGAAGTGTCAGCTATGTCACCAGGACTAGCTGGTGGTGCTGCTATCTGAGGTTACAGAGCCAAGGACAGAGGAAGCCCTTGATCCCAAGCCCTGGGGGATAGTGTGATTGGCTCCATTCTCTCCTTTGCACTCCCACACGCCAATGGCAATAAGCAACATGACTGCCTTAGGAGAGGGACTATGTTTGTGAATGATAATTCCATCTTTAATTCATAAAGGACACCAGGCCAATCGTCCACAGAGTGCTGAAATAATCCTCATTTGGCTCTTACTTCGGCGTACCCATTCCAAGCTCTAGTTCACCCAGTTTCCGGACCTTTTGTCCTCTAACCAGTTTAACTAACATGCAAACATATTCCCAAACAGCCTCCAAAACAGATTATTACCAACAGACTGGAGAATGACGCAAATGTAGGCCATCTACATAAGCGAAACAAGTTGAGCCAGAAGGGATCATTTGCGTGGCTTAAATCATGGAGACAGGCTATCTCCACAGGGCTGAATTCACAATTGCTGGCTTTAGCCATTTGGGTGGGTCTCATCCTTGAACTTCAGGATCCCCCACCCCAACACCACACCCACAACCCAACCGCACACACACAGATGGCAAAGCCACCACACCTCCTTCACCTCTTCTTTGGTGGTCTCCATTGGGACACAATTCCATTGGCCTACTTAGGAGAACTCCATGTATTTTTTATGAGAAATGAGTCAATAATTGCTTTTCTCCCCTCAGTCTCCCAGACAAAGGACCTAGAGCAGAGGGGACTGCCATCTCAGATTAGTGGCTCCACAACCGAGTGTGGTGAGAAGACAGCATGTGGTGAATGTGAACCCACTGAGCCCTTAGTCAGGATTCTCCAATGAGAGAAATGTCCCCCAGCCTTGTCCAGGTTCGACAGGTGGTGTGCCCTTCAGAACCTCTCCAGCCCCTAAGCCCCACCAGCCTTTCACGCCCACTAACTTAATGATGCCTTTTAACAAAAAGGCCTTTGCCTGGAACACCGTGCTGGTCTGTCCCTCCGTGAACCTCTCAAACTGCCCATCTCATCACTAGCGTAGTTGCTCTGGGGAAAACGCAGATGCCCACTTCTCTGTACCCAGTGCCCAAGTTCCCCACCACAACACCCAAGCCAAGGGGTGAGCCATACACATCAGGAGCTTCTTGGTGAGTGTTGACTCAACTGTATCCGTCAGTGTTTCATCCCACTTTTATCAGATCTGTCACTGTTAAGAACAGAGAAAAATCAGAAGAGGACTCATTATTATTGTGTCCATTTGCTGTGCCATCATGAGTGAGTCAGATTCCCTGAGTGTGTTTCCTCATTTGTGATTTAAGAGTGTTCAAATTGGATGACCTCTATGGTCCCACTGGGCTCTCCAGTTGGTCTACCTATCTTAACCTTCTAAATGCCCTCATATCACCCCACCTTCTTCCCATCACCAGGAGGTCAGTGTGGTGGGCCTCTCATTTTTACCACCTGTCTGGAGGTGAGACTAATGCAGATGAGATGTTAGAACTCAACAGGCTTTGCAGCTGGTGGGGAACTCAAATAATCAACCCACTGACTGAGTGCCATGCTTTGAGGCAGGTAAGGTGGCATCAGCCCCAAAATGTAGGGAGGAAAACTAATCCAGAAAGGCTAGATGTTGTTCACAAGGCTCCCAGCTGTCCCAGTAGGTGATCCCAAGAGGACCGGAAGCCAAATCTTCAGTTTCCTCACACCGATCTCCCCCAACACCACCACAATTGTTATGAAAAGGCATTATTTCAGATGTAAGCCAATGCTTTAAAAAGAATTTCTAAATGTGAAATCAAGTGTTTGCAGAAGCAAATCATAGCTATAGCACCTTAATATTTAGATTATTATTTATGATCAAGAGATGGCAGTAAGAGCTTTGATGCTAAACCCTTTGCCAACTAGAAACTTACAGATAAATGATGTTTTTAGTGCCTGCAATCTAGTTCATGAGTCTGGGAATCAGAAACCATGTCAGGGGTTTTCACAATTAATGGCAAAGGAGTTCCAAGCCAACATTCACAGTGCCTGGGAAGAAGCTCTCTGCCCTGTCAGCCTACAAGGTAATCTTGACACATTTACATAAGTGTTTATAGCTCTGCCAATGTTTAATAAGACCTGTGGAAGCCGAAGAATGGTTCTATTTATTCGCAAAACTTCAATGCCATTACTATAAATAGTAAATGGTTTAATTAAAAAACCCAAATGGTTTTTTAAAGTTAAATTTCATTCCCCATATGTGTGTATAAGGAGCTCTTTTAGGTTGAAATAATTCATTTGAATTATCTAAGCCAAAATGATCATATTTTCCTCACTAACATAAAATTTTCTAGAAATGTATTCACCGAGAAAAATATTCCCAACATGTACTAAAATTCACATTTAAGAATCCCCATATTCACGTTAGGGGTGATTTTGTTCTTGTAAATGATCAGTTTCAACTCATTTACTCCCCCTACAAAATCCACACAAGCCACCTGGAGAAATATTCCTTGGGATTTTAAAGTATATTAAAACACACCGCACAGATAAAAGCGGAGGTTGTTCTGAGTCTAGAGGATCTGAGTTTCAGCTCCTCTTTCCTGGGAGGAGAGGTGGTAGGTCCAGTGGTTGGGTTCTCACAGAGGAGGAGCCCCAGCCCCCGCCCACTGCTGGCACCAATCTGAAGGCAGAGATATGCCACCATCGAGACACGGAGTCACTGGCCAGGCCTCATTATCCTGGCAGGGAGCTGACTGCTCCCTTCTGACTATCCCAAGAGTGTACCCCACTAGCCATGTACCTTAGCGTGGATCTTGCCTGACTCAGCCTCCAGTGGTATCCTAAACTACCCACCCAGCTAACAAACAGCCCAGCCAGGCAAACACCTCTGGGACCCTCTGTAGTCTCAGGCCATGAGGGTCCACTGCTGCCTGAGGTTAAAGATTTACCAGATGAACTGCCTTATCTTAATCCATCTGGAGTGTCAACCAAGGAGCAGGAAAAAGAAAGAACCATTCCAGTAGGACACAAACTAGATAAGAATCTGATGTTTTCCTTTGCAATGACTTGACATCCTTGCTTTTTCAAAGGAGGAAATCACTTTAACCAGCCCAGCGGCCTCTTCCTGCTACAACATGTCCCAGACATCCATTCACTGACTGTGTGCCCATGTCCTGATTCTAACGCATTTGCAGGGCTTTTTTTTTCCCTTTAATTCCTGCCATTGCCCGCAGGACTAACCATCCAATAGCAGTGTAATCTAGTAACAACATTACTCCTCTTAGCTACAGCCTGACTCTCTCGGCAAATTTAGGCCAGGGAAAGTACAGACAACTGAATGCCACTGGTCACCTCCAAAACTCAGTTTAGCAAAGAAGCGACTCATTTCTTCCCCACATTTACCCCTCCCCCTCCAAGATTAAATAAATAAATAAGCAAGCAAACTTAGGAGAAAATAGCATCCTTGTTGCTAGGAGTTAATTAAAATGAAACAGCCAAAGGTCAGCGACAGATGATAGAAAGTCCCCGTAATTAACATAATCAATAAGTAGACATCCAGCAAATGCATAGAGTGAAAGATTCAGCAATGCATGCCTGTTTCTGCAGCCCCACCACCTTTGAGCCAATAGCATGCGCTCCACATGGAGTGAAAGGGAAGCCTTTGGTCTCTTCCACACCATTCACTGACATGCAGAACCCCTGAACCTCCAAAGGCAAGAACAGTGGGTAAGGATAGCTATCAAGCATGCTCCCTCTGTTCCAGACATCATCATGCTAGTTCCCACCCATTAATTACTCTTCGGTTCACCACCCACATTTAATTCAACTTTAAAGACATGACAACAAGGTCAGATTTGAGGGATGTACCTGACTCTCTCTCCCCTCCAGGGGTGGTGGAATCTGATCAGCAAAAGCAATCTTCCCTGGATCACCCATAAAGGCACTAACCTCGTCCACGTTCTCAAAAGCGTTGATGACGTCATATGGCAAACAGGACAGAAGATCAATCACAAACCACGTCTTCAGATAGTTCATTCGGATGAGTTTGGGGTCGGAAATCACCTCCCCAGCTGGTCCAACAAAGGTGGTGTGAAAATTCAACACAATGTCCACCAGAAAGATGACGTCCACGATGCTATCCACAACCAGCCAGGCCACATTGTTCTGCCTGGTTTTAAAGGAGACATTGTAAGGGACCAAGATGGCTGTGTAGAAGGTTAAAATCAAGATGATCCAATCCCACGTGGTCTTAAAAACACAGTAATGTAAGATGATGTGAGGGGGAGTCTTTGGTGCCTCTTGCTTGTATTGGGGAAGGATGTCTGAGCCCAGCTGCAGCACCTGTACAGAAAAACACGACCAAGAGAGAACTAAGTTAGGATTGAATGGCAAGCATCTGTCACTGACAAATCATCATGACGCTCCAGATGGGTCACTGGGTACAAGAATAGACCCTAGAGGAGTATGGGAGAAGGGAAGTGAACATTATAATATAAATAATCACAGTGAAACAACGGCAAACTATTATTTAGCTTACTCTGTGCCAAGCATTGTAATCAATACTTAACATACATGTATTAGCTCACTTCATTCTAAATACAACCTCATTTCATTAGTCTATTACTATTCTGTGACAAGTGAGAAACTGAGGCTCACCCATCCATACCATAACAATAACTTCACTCAACAAATATGTAGTGTTCCGTGCCAGGAACTGTTCTGGACACTGGACATACAGTAACGAAGGAAACAGCATGGTTCCAGCTCTCATGGAGCTCGGGCTAGTAGACAAATCAAGGAAATTCCAAATTGTGATAAGAGCTAAATAAGAAGTGGCATGGAACACCCAGTGATTTGATGGAATGTGACTTGAGGATTAGGAGAGGGAGAGTGTTTGAACTAAAATCTGAAAGACAACAAGGAACCAGCCATTCAAACTTATATGGAAAAACTATCCCGGGCAGAGAGCATAACTGGTGTCATGAACTCAGGGTAGGACAAGCTGGGTATTTTGGGGAAAAGAAAAAAGTCTGTTGTAACCGAAGCACACGAAATGAGCAGGGAAGGGTGCTAGATGAGTTCAGAGAGGAAGCAGAAGCCAAACCATGCAAGACCTGGTGGGTCATGGAGAGGCACTGGATTTTATTCTCAGTACGTCTGAGTATAACCGGAGGCTTTTAAGCCAAAGAATAATCCGATGCGTGTTTATAAAAGATCACCCTGGCTGCTGCATAATGAATTGAGGCAGCGGATTAGAGGGAAGAACAGAGTCAGGAAACTTATTATAACACCCTGAGAAAAAGACGGGGTGATGGAGAAAAGTAGTCCAATTTTGGACATATGTTTGAAGTAAAACCAGCTGAACTTGCTGAAGGCTAGAAAATGAAGGAAATAGAACAACGAAAGGTACTTACTACTTTATTCCCAAAACCCCGCATGGTAGTTGGCCCAAAGTAGGCACTTTAAGTAAATAAATGAACTTTAAGGTCATGCAGCTAGGAAAGATAGAACCAGGATCCCAAACTGCTCCAGCTGGATTAAAACCCACACTGTTCCACATTGAGGTTACATTTCCCTAAACGACAGGTCTTTAATGAAGCAGAGTCAGTGAAGGAAGACGTCTAGAGAAGCTTGGTTCCAAAAGAGTATCACAAATGGGTTTCACTTCAGCAGCCAAAGACAAAAAGCTATGTTTCCAGACACTAGGCTAAGCTGGAAGGGGCCTCCACCCCCAGCCCAGCTGCACTTCTGTGCCACTTACAAATTCTTATAAAACTTTAGGTGATGCTTTCTTTTATGTGGCGGGAACTTATTTTTTCATCCAGAGGTTAAAGGCCTGTTAGTGAATATAAAATAATCTGAATATCCCTGCTCCCACTATAATTGGTCCCAGGCCTTAAAAGGTGACAATAAATAAATAAACAAACAAACAAATAAAAGCTAGAAAACGAAGTGCCCAATGTGCACCTTTGGGTATGGGAATTGTTCCTACCCCTCCCACCAGTGCACAGAGCTCTTCTATAAACTTCTTAAACTTGATAAAGAGCATCCACCAAAAAAAAAAAAAAACACCCTAAAACTAACATCCTATTTAATGGTGAAAGACTAAAAAGGCTTTCCCCCTAAGACCAAGAACAAGGCAAGATACCAGCTTTCACTACTTTTCTTCAACATAGTACTGCCACTGTGATAAGGCAAAAATAAATAAATAAATAAAGATTGGGAAGGAAGAAATAAAAGTATCCCTACTTCCAAATAACATAGTGGTGTAGGTAGAATACCCCAAGGAATTGACATATAAACTTCTAGGTCACACAACACAAGATAAACAAATACAAATCACTGTATTTCTATATACTAGAAAATGAGCACCAAAATTATAGAATGTCATCCTATATAATAATGCCTAGGTGGCATCACGCCCTCACGCGATGCCCTCACACAACATCATCACAAGATGGCCCAAGATGGCCAGCAGGGGAGGGCAGTTGTGGGCGATCAGGCTGGCAGAGGAGGGCAGTTGGGGGCGATCAGGCCAGCAGGGGAGGACAGTTGGGGATAATCAGGCCAGCAGGGGAGGGCAGTTAGGCATCAATCAGGCCAGCAGGGGAGCGGTTAGGGGGCGATCAGGCTGGCAGGAAGAAGCTGTTAGGGGCAATCAGGCAGGCAGGCAGGTGAGACGTTAGGAACCAGCAGTCCCAGATTGTGAGAGGGATGTCCAACTGATCCTGTGGGATCCGGCCTAAACCGGCAGTCGGAAATCCCCTGAGGGGGTCCCAGATTGGAGAGGGTGCAGGCTGGGCTGAGGGACAACCCCCCCCCCCCTCACACACACACGAATTTTGTGCACTGGGCCTCTAGTCCTATATAATAAAAGGCTAATATGCAAATCAACTGAATGGTGGAATGACCAGTTGCTATGATGCGCACTGACCACCAGGGGGCAGACACTCAATGCAGTAGCAGCCCCCTGGTGGTCAGTGCACTCCCACAGGGGGAGCACCGCTCAGCCAGAAGCCAGGTTCATGGCTGGTGAGCGCAGCGGCAGTGGCAGGAGCCTCTCCCACCTCCGCAGCAGAGCTAAGGATGTCTGACTGACACCTTAGGCCCACGGGTAGCGGGCCTAAGCCATCAGTCAGACATCCCCCAAGGGCTCCTGGACTGTGAGAGGGAGCAGGCCAGGCTGAGGGACCCTCCCGAGTGCACGAATTTCATGTACCAGGCTTCTATAATAAAAATCCACTTAGGTGCAAATATAACAAAATATAAACAGGACTTATATGCTAAAAACAACCAAATGCTGATAAGAGATCAAAGAAGATATAAATAGCCCTGGGTGGTGTGGGTCAGTGGTTAGAGTGTCAGCCTGTACAAAAAAAGGTTGCAGGTTTGATTCCCAGTCAAGGGCACATATGTGGGTTGCAGGTTCACTCTCTACCTCCAGTTGGGGCTCGTGGGGGAGGCAACTGGTCTATGTGTCTCACATCAATGTTTCTTTCCCCCGCCCTCCTTCCCTCCCTCCCTTTCACTCTCTGTGGAAATCTGGGAAGCAATGGAAAAAAATATCCTCAGGTGAGGATTAAAAAAAAAAAAGAAGAAGATATAAATAAATGAAGAGGCATGCTGTGTTGCTAAAATTGATATACAGGTTTAGCACAATTTCTAGCAAAATGCCAGCAATAGTTTTTGTAGATACACAAGATTATTCTAAAATTTCTATGGAATGGCAAAGGAATTAAAACAGCTAAAAACAATTTTTAATAAGAAAAATAAAGTGGAAGGAATCAGTCTAGCCAATTTCAAGACTTGATATATAGCTACAGTAATTAAGACTATGTGGTACTGATAGAGGAATAGACTCATAGATTAATTAAAAAGACTAGAGAACCCAGAAATAGACCCACACAAATATGCTTGACTAATTTTTTATTGTGGTGAAAAAAGCTATTCAGTGGCAATTCTGTGGAGGAAAGAACATGCATAGGAGAGAGAGAGAGAGAGAGCGATTCAATGTAAGTCTCATAACCTATATAAAAATTATCTCAAAATGGATTGAAAACTTAAATGTAAAACTATAAAACTTTTAGAAAAAAAAAATAGGAAAACTTCTCAGGATCTAGAACTACGCAGAGTGTTCTCAGCACAATCCATACAAGAAAAAACTGATAAATTGGACCGAATCAGAATGTAAAACGTTTGCTCTGCAAAAGATTGTTAGGAGGATAAAAACACAACCCATGACTTGGAGGAAATATTTGTAAACCACATATCCAGCAAAGAAAAGTACCTAGAATAAAGAATTTACAATATATGATTTCAAAACTCAACAATAAAAACAATCCAATGAGAAAATGAATAAGAGTCATGAACGAATATTTCACCCAAGAGGATATATAGTTGGCAACTAACATATGAAATGATGTTCAACATCGTTAGTCATTAGAAAAATGCCAATTAAAAATACAATGATCTATCACTACATACCTATCAGAATGGCTAAAATAAAAATTGTGACAGCATAAATGCTGATAAGAATGCAGATAAACTAGATGGTTCATATCTAGTTTATGAGCAATATAAAATGGTACAGCCACCGAAGAAAAAGAGTTTTGTTGTTTACAAAACAACTAAATATATAACTACCACATGGCCCACCAATTACACTCATGGCATTCATCCCAGAAAAATGAAAACTTATTTTCTCACACAAAAACCTGCACATGAATATTTATAGTAGCTTTATTCCTAACAAACTAAAACTGGAAACAACCCAGATATCCTTCAACAAATAAATGGTTAAACAAACTGTGGTACATCCATACCATAGAATGCTACTCAACAATTAAAAGGGTTTAAACTAATGATACATTCAACAACCTGGATGAGTCTCCAGAGATTGAAATTTATATAACATTTTATAAATGTATATAAACTTTATATAATATCCTTGAAATGACAAAATTATAGAAACAGAGAATAAATGAGTGATTGCCAAGGGCGTAAGGGGCAGGGGCAAGGGGGGCAGAAAGGAAGAGGGTGTGGCTACAAAGAGGCAACAAGAGATATTCTCGGGGTGATAGAAATGTCCTATATCTTGACTCTACCAATGTAAGTATCTTGGTTGTGATATCAGACTACAGTTTTGCAGGAAATTGTCATCAGGGAAGCTGAATAAGGAGCACATGGGATCTCTCTGTATTATTTCTTACAATGGCTTGTGAACCTACAGTTATCTCACAATGAGCAGTCTAATTTTTTAAAAATCAACTGAATACAGATAAATTACAAGTAAGGAAGGGGACCTGGGCATTCAACTAAGGAAAGGGCAGGGGAAAGGGAGG